GTAATATTTAATATAATTATGGACATTAGGAGTTATATTTATAGTTACGTAGTTACAGTTAACTAGTAAACGTCCTAACTAATACTGCAATATGTCCTCCTCTATCGCACCGTAATTAAAATATTATTTATTATTTCCAGAATATAAAAAAGATCAAAAATTAAATAAAAATTTGTAAAAAAAGTTCGTTCTTGTTTCTTCATACAGTGTGGCATTAATGAGGAGGACAAGAAAAATCTCGATGTTTCAGTATTCATTTACACGTTTGTGGACAAATTAAAAATTTTCTGGGATTGCCGGTAACCAACCCTAGACTTTCTTTCTATGGTTACATCAAAAATATTTTGCGTCGTTTAGGTGCATAGCTCATCTTTAAAACATATATTTTAACGATAAAGTGTTTTACAAATGGTTTCTGCAAGGATAAACTTTAGCTTGACATATTAATTCGTCAACTCGTACGGTCTATAACCCAGTAACCATGGAAAATTGCATTTTGGCGAACTTTTGGGAAAAAGGTAGCATTGTGCGGCATTCCCCTCGTCTGTTTTTCTACGAACAATGCTACGTTTGTAGTCTGGCGCGTCTCTCCAATTACGAATTCAGATGGCTGAAGTTTAGATGACTCTCGAATTACCTAAACAGAGCGTATTCGCCCACGAAACGTATCCGAGCCAGTCCTCCGTATTTCACGCGGCTCGTCGCGTGATTTTAAAGCATTCCGGTTAATATCAACAGTCCCGTTAATGGCGGAACGGTCGCAAAGTACAAAAGTATCGTATTAAAAGTCACGGGACAACGAGAACGTTGAGGGTCGAATACCCTTGTCGAGAGAAACGACTGCAGTCCGAAAGCGACGCGTAAAAAGAATTTCCTCTTCTGGCGACTCGGCTTTCGTTTGCTTTTGAGCTCGCTTGTCGTACCAAAGCTCCTCTTGTTAATTCGTCGAACCGACTGCGTTTAGAAAAATACCGGGCACCGCGGAGCTCGCACAAACGCGGAATTCTGTTTTTGAATTTTCCTTCCCTATTTGCCTGGACCGAATCGCCGTGCGATTCGATCGCCTATCGTGTCCACCAGCAACGATTATAAGTTCCCCGAATCACTCGCAGCTTGTTGATCGACGTGGTCGTTTCACGTCGATATCAAAATATCGTCCAATTTCCGCTTGACATCGCCATGGAAAACTACGCGCGTGCAAAATTGTTTTAGCCTCCACTGCTACCTAGAAAATCGGTGTACGTAGGCAAACTGGAACGATTATTGATTCTTCCTTCTGGAATAGTCATGTCATTTGCCTTTTGCTTTAGAAAGTTGGAACTGGAATTTTTTCTTTCGTCGAAATTGTGCTCGTTATATACTTCCAGGAAGGTTAACGAATTTTAAACTCGAAGCTAGTAACAAGCGATATATACAAATTATATATCAAGACTGCGGATCCTTGTGCAAAATAAAAGTCATCTGACTTAATTGTAAGAAATGTAACGTAGATGAAAATATCTTTCTTAATCCGGCGTCGGTGGAGTACAACATACTCCACTAATTTTTAAATTATTAATCTGTTTTATACATAATGACAATAATAATAATAATAATAATAATAATAATAACGTTTAGTAGATATCTTTGTATTTTTACAACATTACTGACAAATGCATTATTTAAATTAAAAATTTTTAATCATTTTGCTAAAGAAATAGACTGGGACATGTAACACCCCACCATACTAATCATGTCACACTTTTATACGACGTTGACGCCGGGTTAATAATAATAATAAATCAGTAATAAATTAATGATAAATAATAATAAATTGTTAGGAATGTAACGGTATCTTTAGATTCTTCTAATACATTTACAGTTTCGTGTTTGGCCTAGTCATTTCTGTCATGAATGCATAAAATCCACAGTCTGGATATGACAATCGAGAAATATTCTCTCGTCGAATACGTACATCGATTCGACTTTTTGGTAACATTATCATCGGATGCACTTCTACATCGGAAGAGATCCCCTAAATTATAGCTATTAGCGACCATGCACGATCATATAATTGAAAGAATCCGATTAACGAACAATTTCGAAGAATCGCAACAGGCTTTCGCCGTTTATGGCCTTTTTTAAAGTATTCCTCATCTTCGCCAGCGCTTCGGTTCCTCTTCGTTAACAACTCAAAGCATTTCAACAAAATAAATTGTTTGCATCAGTCGGATCGCATCTTCGATTGTTTCTGATAGAAACTAGAGTTTCCCCCACTGTAACAACGAACCGAAAGTATCGTCGTCGACCGTAACAACGATACAAAATCTATATTTCACGGCACCCTCGCGCCTGAACAAACACTTGCGCAAACGCGAACACTTGGATCCGAATATGAAATTTCCCGCGCGCAGAGAGGTTCTTTAGTCGAATCCGGGAAGTTCCTGCTATATAGATTTTCGGCGGAAAAATAGGGATCGGACGGAGAAGACAGCATGTACTTCATGTCTAGATGTGGACACATCATGATGTATTTGTTATTTGTTATTGTCGCAGCTTATCCTGCCGTCTACAGCCAGTTTCCTCAAGCTATTCCACAGCCGATGACCGCCGTGGCGCCGACGCAGAGAGAAGGTAAGTACAACACACTCATTAACGTCTAACTGTTGACTGTAAACACGAACGATTGCAGTCCCGAAATCGTAGATCCAAATCCTGAACGTCCAGACACGACTAATCCCTCGTCGTTGCGTCGCGACGCCTAGGCACGATCGAAAACCGTCTCGTGTACACTGCGTGGAGCATTCGTGGTAGAGAGCAGGGATTCTCGGGCGTAAGAACCTGCAGAACTTGTCTAACCACTGTCCACCCCAAAGAAAGAAGAGAAGGACTAGAAGCGGAGAGTGTCGCGTCGCGTTGCTCTCGGTGGTTCTCCTACTCCTTTTCTCCTTTCTCGCGTTAGAAAAATGGAGGAAAGTTCTGCAAAAGTTCTTACGCCGGTGAGATATGTATATCCGTCTGCGCAACGCCATTTCACAAAGAAACAGAAGAAAGATAGGTGATCAAACCGTAGGTATTTTCGCATTTCGAGAAGCAAATGAAGAGCAAAATTGCGAGCGAACATAAGGAAAAGCCGATACACGCGTTTCCAATCGAAAAAAAAATTCTTTTCGCCGTGCACGGTTGACGGATCATTTTTAATTTGGCCACGTACCGTTACGATCTTTTTTCTAGTTGAATCACAGACCGGTGAAAAGGGAGGATGACTAGCAACCGTTGATGAATTTTCATTCGACCGCTATATTCTCTCTTTCAATATCGCGAATGATATCGGGTTTCTCCGGCGCGGGGGATGGCACGGAATAGGGCTTTTCTTTCGCAACGCGGTCCGCCGCGCCGCGCCGCGCCCGCTCAAATTACAACCGCGCCAACGAAAAAATAGACCGCGTCTAACGCACCGCGTCTGAGGATCTGTACAATCGCGTCTCGGCCCGTTCTATACAATCGCGCTGTTCGGTGAAATTGATTCGACCGGAGCCAGAAGGTGCGATTAATTAAACCGATTGACTTCGATTCAAAGTGTAAGATTAATCGGAACCAATATCGACACGGGTTAGAGACGGCTGGGGGAGGGGGGGGCAACGTACAAACTGATCTCCGATGTTATCTTTGTGAATGAAAAGACCTGGTCCAAGGGTGGAAACGGGGGGGACAAGGGGGGCAGGAAGATGGCGGATAAGAACGCGAGGCAGAAAAGAGTAGGGACGGCGAGCTCAGCCAACGTCTAATTGCAATTAACAACTCGCCATTATTAGAATATACGACGCCTAACAATGAGATAATGCAAATAAAACGAAAGTTTTAATTACTTTGCCACTACGCCTGCCGGCTATCCGTTGTTACGTTGTAGGATAATGGGAAGTTTCCCGCAACACCGTTTCCCTTCCCCGTTCCGTTCAGGGTTCCCGGCATTCCCTTTTTCACTCCTTTCGGATGCAATTTTTCGCCCCTTCCTTCGAATACACAATATCTCGTCAACGCATTCTCCGCGACCCAGACGCTCCAACGAGATACATGTATGTTTCACTACCAACGCATTCTCGATGTACACCTCTGACGAAGCGAACTGCTGGTATCTCCCGCTTTTTTTGGATTCTCGGATCAACGTTCTCCGTCGCTGTTAACATTTCACTCAATGGGCGCCTCCTTCAGCCTCATACGCTTCTAATTCACCCACTTTCTGGTTTGGATCATGCAACGTCTTTTATCTCTCTGTGATCTTGTTGTGATTCGATGTATGGTATTGGGTTGTGTCACGTGAAATGCTGGATTTCACACAGATTTTGTCTATTTGTCGGACACGCGATGGAAAAATTGCAAACGATATCTATTTGATCAATGTACACCGTTTTTGAATTAGCACTTTATTTATCGGAAGCGAATAGACTTTTCCATGACCGAGTTGTTTCCCAAAGAAACTAGTCCATTTCGTTTTCAATTTGTTGAGTTATGGAGAAAATGACTGTCGCTTTTGAACAATCTTTCAAGATATTCTCGATCGATGTCCGATTCGAAAAGAACTTGGTAAATTACTGGTAGCTGACAAGCATGTGTTTACTTAAAACTTTCGCCAGTTAAAAAGTATTAAGGCGGTTATGTTGACCGACTCATTTGGTATTAAATGAAACAATTTTTCCTGCTCGTTTATTCGACATTTCACGTAACTCGACCCAATATTTGTTTGAAACATGATTCACGAGTACAGTGATCGAATGAAAGTGCAAAACCAATAGTGGGTGAAATCTACGGAAGATTCTTCCGTGCATTCCTGAGAAACGTACTGAGGACTAATGATGCCGTTAGATTAAACAGGCGCTTTACTGTTGAAGATGGTGACATTAGCAAAGTTCAGAACGTTTGTTGGTTCGTGATTAAAAAAGGCATTAACAAACAATTCATTGTCGTTGTAGCGAGCGTGTGTTACCACACTAATCATACGCACGAAAGCTGATCTCCACGTTCCTCGTCGGAGGGATTCGCTTTCGAGCAAACTAACAACTGTCCAGGACTTTGATTCGAAGGGAATGTTGTTCGGTGTTGAAAGCCGCGCGACGTATCGCGACGGCACGATGGTGTCGGGAAAAATAAAATAGTCCACTCTGTCATCATTGCATGACATCATTATCGATTTTATATTTACTGTCGCTTCGTCGATCATTTTCGCTTCTCTGACCTATTTCAATGTTACACGTTTTACAAGGTGTTCTCGGTGTTCATGTATCTTCCTCCTCTTGATCGATTCTTGTATACCATCAACATTCTAAACGTATCACCGAAAATACTCTACCTTCGTTCTCTAGATGGATTACATTGCTGTTACATCATTGCACTCGGTGTGGATTTCTTTGGCTATGTTCGGTGTTGCGGTGTTGAACAACATTGATCGCTGCTATCACGAGACGATCAACCACGAATCGTGGCAAGTGTATATATATACATAGGTGGTTCAACTAACATCTTATCGATAGAGCCATGATTTCCGGAACTGCCAGCTTATGTGGAAGTAAAAATGTTTATGCGATTACCCCGAGTGTTCAGAATATTTCAAGTTCTGCTTTTCGCGAAATATGTTGCAAGAAATAGTTGACCTCTAATAAGGTAGGACTTAACCGAGATGGGCATATTTTATTCGAATAACGAATGCGATCTTATTCGTAAAATTTATTAGAGATATTATCCGAAGAATTTATTCGATATATTATTGGAATACAAATTTATTCGTGGGATATATTCGAAATGTTATTCGAATACGAATTTGTTTGAATAAAATTTCATTGAATTAATTAGTTTCGAAAGTTATCCGAGTAATTCACTGTATTCTTTTACTGCAATTTTATCTGAAAAATTTATTCAAAACGAAGAATTTATTGAAATTATTATCTGAATAAAACTTTATTAGAAGAATTTATTGAAATTATTATTCGAATAAAATTTTATTAGAAGAATTTATTCGAATAACGCCCAACTCAGGCTCTGGATAAATATTTTATATTTTATAGTCAGTTTTTGAATAGATTTAAATTGTGTCATTCCTAGACGTACAAATCGGGAAAACCTCGTTTATATCGAAACAGTGGAGTTCAATTTTGTTATACAATAATTATGTACGAAAGTACTAAACATAAATATAATGTTAAATTTTTAGTTTCTTTTCTCAGTATAAATGTATTTTATATATGTGACTTGTAAAATTGTTAACTTCTCAAAATATCCATCCACCTTGTTGAGTCAATCTATTTTCTCTAACGATTTTGTGAACTACTAAATATCGAAAATATTCTAGCTACTCGGGAGAAAAAACTAGAGAAAAAAAACATCGTACAATAGCAATGTTCGTTCGACGCCACAAGGTGTCATCAGTAATAAAAGGCAGTCTTCGATTTCCCGTCACATGGCGTTATCTGTCGATAAGTTATTAACAACAGAATGTGTGTCTACTACTGCCTTTTTTGATGGATATACAATGTGAGACGTATTTCACGGCTGAATTGCGAGCAAAGAATGACCAAAAAACGAAAGATATATTCGAATATTGATGTTCTCGCAATATAAGCATGAATACGGTATCAAGATAATAAAGTAATTACATTGATTTATGTCCCATTTTGACATTTTACGTACAAGCATATCCACGAATACTTTTTCCTCGATTTAAAAGAATAATGCAGCGGTTAATATAATAAAAAACACACATGTTCTGTGAAAGTTGTGATCGAAGCCGCAACCAAAGAAAACGATTGGTCACACTGCATACATTTGAAAAGCTCGAATTACTCGGATAAAAATATTGCTCAATGAAATTCCGAAGATTCCCGAAAAATGGAAGAGAATTGTAGCTCTTGGAGAGAAGGCTCGGTGGATTCTCAACTTAGCGGCTTTTCTGGCCGTTGGTACGTCTACAGCGGGTTTGGAGGAGGTGTTGCTTTCATTAAATTCGCGTGCACGTCCCGCGCGTGGGCCAATTAGAGAGTCGAAAACCAATTTCAGGATCAACGATCGCACGGCACGACGACGTTTTGAATTTATGGCTCGTTCTTCGTGATTCCAGCGTCCACCGCAATTCCTCCTCCATTCTCCCCTACGTCGAAACCAGAAACCTGTCGACACTGGCTCTAATTTGGGTTTCATGTGACAACTACGATCGAGTTATTACCGAGAGGAAGGCCGCGCCTATGAAAAAGAAAACGTTTGTTACTCTAATGTCTACAACACGAGTCACGTTTTCTTGTTTCTCGCGCTTTAACAGAAAAATTATTACCACTGTCTTTACTTCCTGCTATTATTTATTTTCAACATAGCTTCTAACTGAATTTTTACTTTTAGTGGCAGCGTAATCGTGTCATAATGTAAGTTATAATCATGGATTGTAAATGAATGTACTTTAAACATTTCTATCATCTAGAAAGTGTTCATTCATTGGAAACTGTAATAAATCCTTTACAACACGTGGAGAACATAGCTTTATATATTCATTTCATTTAGTTTAGAAATTTTAGAAGTATTATCACAGTACTATTTTTACTGTTCAAATTCCAGGATGTAGTTATAGCTCACTGTATAATAAGAGTAGTAACAGAAATACAATTAAGTTGAAAGTAATAGCAAAAATACTAATATTTTGGTTCAATTGTATCATTATTCGAATATATCAATTCTTTCCTTATACAAAATGCTCAGAAGTCAGCTTTTGCCGTTACTTCTGATATAAGTTGATTTTATTTTTTGCTATGTAATGTACTAGAAAATGTATATCTTGACAAATTAACGTTTAGATCAAATTCTATATACATAGTTATTCATATTTATACAGTAAAAATAGTAGTGCGAAAATGATCACTTTAATATTCCAAGAGAATGGTACATTCACAATGATTAATTAATATTATCGTACATCTTGAAACTCCAAAAAGATTTTTCCAAAGATTTGTCTGTAAAAGAGTACCTACAGATTCTTTTTCAAAGAGAAAAAATCCTTTAATCATGCTTCGAAGGTGTTTTCAAAATTTAAGTTTAGGAATTTGAAATTCTGTGCAACGTTTATTAAAACCGTATACTTTATTATTTACGTGATATTTAATTTAACCTTAAAATGAATATTAATCTGCAAGGAATACATAAATAACGGAATATATAGAAAAAAAGTGGTAGGCAAAGATGTAGAAAAGAAAATTTGAGCATTTGTAGAAATGATATTGTTTCGTATGTAACGTACGGAGAATTTTCCGACGTGTTTTTTCTTACTCCTTCCTGAAGACGTACGCCAGGCTGGCACCAGCCAGCGGGTTTCGCTCTGTATTTCGTAAGTCAAGTATCTTCGAAGAGGTACAACGGCGAACCTTCTGGAACCGGGGCGCATATGAACACCCCCACTACCGTTTTTTTAAGGAAATTTTGAATATATAAAGGACCCAAACGCGATTAAAAAGCGGGCTTAGTTTCAAGTCAGTTATTGACGAAGGAACGCTAGTAGGATTGAGTCTGATTCTCTTTCGAGCATTTCAACCGTGTACGTACATCGTTACAAGGTTATAAGCTCCCGCCTACCCCGTGCGACAATCTGGGACCGAACTCAAAGTTCGTAATATACTATCTTTTACCAGTCTATGAAGTTATCAAATTCAATTATCCCATCTCTTGATTCGAAGCAGTAATTGGTACAAACCCACAGAAATATACCTTTACCCCTTTATCTTCATTTCTTTCTAAAAGTTGAGAGGCAACCAAACTCTCTAAATCTCTATCCTACGATATCTAGTGACGCCCCGATAATGAGATAGATATCGGCTAGTCCACGCAATTCCCTTACCAAAAACTCCAAAATCACAACCAACCTTCAGCCACGCTAAGCTGCCTGGCCCTCGGCTCGTAACACTTATATGAAATTGGCGAAAATTGCATCAGTCCTACGTGATATTTTCAATTTATCTCGAACAATGTACAAAGCAATGCAGTGTATAGTATACATATGTAGAAGCAACAGATTTTAAGTACTATTATATATTTATCGGTAGCTATTGCACACAATATAGATAATGATTAATAAATTCAGGATGCACAATTTCGGTAACTTTCTCCCAAGCTCGACGAAGCTAGTGATACTCAACAGCTTCACTTTCATTGACGTTTTAATGGCTCCTATCTCAAGTATGTTTGACTTTCCCACCAATATCAATGTAGAAACCTGTCCGCTGAAGGCCACTTGTTCGTAATCGCGTTTTAAGTAGCAAGGGAATCTACAATCATCTGTGAACTTTCAAGTGAACGAAGATAGTAATTGTTCACGGAACTGGGAACGGACAATTACACTCCGGAGTAATTCGACAGAGCGACGGTTGTTCGTAAAGGCGATAAAGTGACAGAGGGGTGAATCTCGCCGAGGAACAAACGAGTCGCGATGAGTAGCATCCTAAAAGTTGAGTGGCAGCCATCTCATTACTTAAATGCGTCCGTTAGTCAGGAAACGCTGGCCAAGAGAGCAGAAGTTTCCATGGTCATAATCGCCGCTAATTGACGTCGGAGTTATAAAGTTCAGTGAAATTAGCTAAATCCTTATTTGGACTCTCGTTATTCCGACCCTTCGCTTTGCTTCTCCCATTGGACTTTTCTCCGCGGACGTATTAATCGCCGGTGTCTTCGTGCCTCTTGCGGCTGACATAAACTAAGGAAAGAATTCCTCATTGTCCGACGAAAGCTACGGAATTAAACCGGAAAAGGAATTGCGTTTCATTTAAAAACTTTAACGAAATCTAATGAACGCACCGGATCGCCCGTTAACGAAGTGGATAATAATCACGGGGTGTCCGAACGAAAATGAAAATATAATAAATTCGAATCGACCGAGAAGACGAAGTTGTATCGCGCGAAGACGTTATCCGCATGCGTTGTTGATAGGGTTTTGTAATTCGTACATCGTGAGATCGTAAATGGCATTCGTGTTGCAGCAAAGACGATTTCATTGTTGAATTATTTACCTTCGAATTTCCACGCAGAGCCTCGCACGTTTTCATGCGGTTCACACGGAGCAGGCTCTGACCGAATTAAGCAGTGGAAAAACACGACGACGGATTAATATGTCTGACGACGAATTCATGTAAAGTGTCGCACTATCGTAATCAGTATCATCACTATTATCACTGTACCCCTCATATCCATTTGCATTCATTTGAAAACCCCCTCACCTCGCTCGCCATTGTGTTGTGAATCCCAGTGTTGTGTGTTTGTATATTTGAAAGTATAAATACTCAACGTTATTTGAGCCGCGAAAAGTCTCATTGTCGTGACGGATATCGTCGTGACACTCTAATCATTACTCTCTTCGTCAGCATTTTCATACTTCTTTCGTCCCCACAACCTGTTATTTCGTTCTTTCTCCGCCAGATCTATCTTTCTCATCATTCCTCTAGCCCTCATCGTTTCCTATCCTCCATTTTAACCCACATCTCGACTCTCCCCATCGTTCTATGAACATATCCCGTTCACATTTTGTTCGATATCCTTTCGAATCACCTATCATTGCGATTCATTATCAAAAATATATACCGCTGTCTGCTATACACCCTTATGATTTCTGTGCGACGAGAGAGAAATCAGATTGTCATCGAAAGACGATCACGAGATCTACACCTTCATTCATCAAAAATACCGCATTCAGACAAAATCCGGGAAGTACATGCAGGGAGAGCGAATTGTGCGTACCCTCGCAGTCGCGAGGACGGCTCTCCTAAGCGCGTCGGAATCATTATTGCAAAGGACGAAACTCATCCAGAAACTAACATTCTAACTTGAGTATTATACTTCAAGTTTAGATGTTTAGATGTGCTCTGATTTATATGGTAGGATGCTCTCTCTCAGGACCCGAGGGCTGCAACCTGTTCATCTATCACCTGCCTCAAGAGTTTGGGGACACTGAGCTCATGCAGACGTTCATCCCTTTTGGCAACGTCATATCCTCCAAGGTTTTCATCGACCGGGCCACCAACCAGAGTAAATGTTTCGGTAAGTGTGTCCTATCCACGATACAGATCAATCGTGGCCTGGAAGTGAGGAACGTATAAGACCGTTCAACAGGTAAATCAAACAATCTAGAGATCTGATAAAGGTAGGATAGCCAGCTGGCCACGTCGGCAACAATTATTGCCGCGAAAGTGCACCGTATGCGAATCATTCTTCGAAATGATTCCTTTCAATGAAAAGGTCACGAAACTCGACCGATTAATTATCCCGGAGAAAACATGTCTTCGATTCATTACCTGTTTAAATTAACAAGTTCAGTGCTGAATACCAACCCCCCAAAATTCCACAGTATCAAAACAGTTACAATTTACTATAGGGAGTATTGGTTCAAATGTTTTGTGTTCTAAAAATCCTAGTAACATTCAGTTTGTTCAATATATTACAATAGGAATGATTTACGAAACGTAGTTTAAAATTATTGGCACTAAATTTGTTAATGTTGAGACTTGAATGTTATATATCATTCCATGTAAAAGATAAAGTTAATGAATTCTTTAAAAATATATGTTCTACCCAATATTTTTCTTTTTACAAAATGAATGAGTTGAGTTTACATTCGCAATTGCAAAATATTATGTATACAGTCAAATGAATTTTTCAAGTATAATAGATTTTCGTTTACAAAATAGATCTAAGAATAAAGTAAGATATTGTTTAAGGACACTTTCGAAGGATTCTGTTACACGAACGAAATCTAAAATTTAATTGAGTTGTCACAA